TACCATGGTAGACCATGGTCAACCATGTTTGAAAGCAATATCAATACCATGGTAGACCATGGTCAACCATGTTTGAAAGCAATATCAATACCATGGTTTACCATGGTCAACCATGTTTGCAAACAGCACCCGTATAGCATGGTCAAGAAAAACCTACATAAATATACAATATCAGGGTGCAAATCATACTGGGCAGTAGTATAATTCACTCATTAATAGAAGGAACAAAATAAATGCTCATTTTTTTAATGCAACAGAAAATAATTTGTATACAATCAGCATGTAAATATTAGCCAAAATGTTTGTTTCTACACTAAAGTTACTATCATGAAATTTRGTTGGCCTGGTGCTCTAGTTTTGTCCTGACAACTTACTGTACTTTCTGTTCAATGCTTAATGCACATCTACAGTATGGTAATAATTTTAAGAATTATTTCTATTTTGTCATATTATAATACACTCAATAAAATAACTTGATTATGTATACAGCCAATTCGTTTATCCATTTTAATGTGCTAACTAGAATTCTTTTAAAGAAAATTGATCAAAGAAACAGATAAAATGACTTTGCTTAAAAATACTTTTTCCATACAGTTTTGTTAAGTATAAATGAATAATTGCAAGACCTTCTCGAAAAAATTCATAATTTTCTCACTAAATGAGAAATAAATTGTTATAAAGAGAGAAGTTCACTTTGTAATAGCTTCTGCAAGACTTTTTCCAAGTATGTTGTGAATTTTGATTCCCCACTATAATTCCTTGTGGGTTTTTTAGCCTATCAAAATATTTTCTCGGCTCTGTACATTACTTCTTGTAACAGATCTTTCTTGAACCTTAAAATCAATGTGGAAAGRTATAAAATAATTRATGTTCTGTAATTGTATATGAGTTACGTGCACTTGCTAGCATTCTGGTTCGCTATATTAATTCCCAAAGAACTCAACAAGAACGTAAACGATTCAAGTCGTATTTCGAAACATAAATGTTGTTTCACGCTTTCGAAAAGCCAGCCAGGCATTCAGCTTCATTGACAAACCTCATTAAAATGCTTAAAGCCACGAAGAGCAAGATTCCAGCCAGTTAACTACAGAATAAATTGGGTTTGAATAAAAAGTGAAAAGAAAATGTCAATGTACATGCCTGATAGTGATTCAATCCATGTCCTCATGATCAGCCACCGATTTTGCAATCCAGGAAAGTAAACATTGAACCCATTGCACGATATCAAACTCTTGCTGAGCAAATTCAGCTTCCAAAATTCATAAAAACTTCTTTTGAACAGAGATTATACGGTATTTTTCTCTACAAGAAACTGTTACCGGTGAATAACAACATYAGGCGCCAAAACACAGACTATGAGCCCGCGTACATACCGGCTAATCACCAGTCCACTCACGGTCACAGTACAGTGCCTTTGTGGAAAGAAAAACTTGCAAATGTGTAGAGATGGATTTGAAGATGTTTATATTTTAAATGCACTGGAAATAGTTTCAGCAGTGGGTAACAGTAACAGGAAATAAATAAGTATATTTTTCAATAATGTATTGTGTGGAAGTTTATTCGAAATGCACTGGTAATCTAAGATATGGATTTCAAAAACGAATTTTTACATTGTAAAGGTTAACTTTTAAAAGGCCTCACTTACATACTTACTTACAAGTATATGGTGTTAGTCTCTTGTTAGTTTCTAAGGAAAAAGTTGACATTTTTGCTAGCAAATGGGTAGAGAGTTATGATAACTCAGATATTCTGGCTGACTATGGTTGACTGTGTACCATGGTTATCCGGGCATTAACATATTTTGACCATGGTTGATAGTGTAACATGAAAATTGATTCTTATGTTTAAATGTTCCTTATATATTGACTGTGTGCCATGATCATCATTTTTAACACTTTGACCATGGTTGACTGTGTACCATGGTCAACATTAT